TGCACAGCACACGTAACGAGGCAATTGAGGAGGAATGGGTGACATGGCAACTGGAACCAGTCCATTTACGCAATAAGCCAGATTTTGACAGCGAGAGCATCTTCTGCAAAGAGAATGTTTTCTCGTTGCTAATTACTCAGCTCAGTTCAGAACCATCACTGGTTCATTCCGGGTTGAGAAACAAATTAGGAACTGAAAATGCAAGCAAGTCGGTGTTTGTTTGTTTGCTTGCTTGCTTTTCCCCCTCTCCCACTCTGCAGACCTGTGGGGGGCTGAGACCGAGTGCCCCACATCTTGACATGCATAGTTTCCAGTCACTGTCAGTTCAGTTTGTTCAGTACAGATCACATTAAATTGCTTAGCTATAAACACTAAATAGGTTCAGGTATTTTTCTAAGCGCTCAGCACATTTGCCTTTGTTTATTACTTAAAAAACAGCAAATGAAAATGCTTGTTTGTTACCCCATTAAACTCAAGCTTCAATTTCCACCCAAAAGCTGCTTGAAAAAGATCACAACTGAAAGATTAATCATGTAATAAATAAGTCATCCATCATTTTCAAAAAATAAAGACTGAGTAAATCTATGTAAATGCATACAGCTGCTTAGATGCATACAGAGTATCTCCCATTATTAAGAACAATATTTTTTCTTTTTTCTGAGATTGTATTTATGTGCAAGTGAGCACCTCAGAGGTTATCAAGAGAAGAAAGTCAATCTTTATTTAGGAAAAGGAATAGAAACTACGAATGTTAAGGAAGATCAACACGGGCCGTTTCCATCAAGGTCCTGAGGTCAACTTCAACCAACTCCCTCTGTATGACAGGGTATGTTCTGAGACACAAAACAGTGCTGATCACACAACTTTTAACCACAGAAGTAGGGTAAGTATTCAGGCATCACCAAAACCAGAGAGTACCATCACCCAGATTAATGACATGCAGAGCTTCCATAAAGCCTGGACAGAAAAGGATGGGAAGAAAGTCACACCTCCATTTTAACTGTTCAACCTGTATCAAAACCTGTAAATTTTCCCCTCCAAGCTCTAGAAGCTCCCCCAACAACTTTTTGTTTTTAAATTCACATATTTTAATGCTTCATACAACATCCTAAGGTTGCATTTTGCTCTATCCTTACGTTGTGCAGCCTGCGACTCCTCACGACATCCCCAGCGTCCTCTCTGATGGAGATGCTAACACGTTGTAAATGAAGAAAAAAACTTTTCTTTTACAGATATATCTTCATCAACCACACTTCTTAATATATCTTAAACATCCACACTTCTGAAGGGGCCAGGTTCCCACTTAATCAACACTTTGTACTGGAAGTATTTGGGTCAAGGACTTCCTACCAACACTAACAGCCTCCACATCCCCACCAGACAAGAATAGCACATGCATCTTAAAAAACATCAATTCCATCACGTTAATGAAACTGAACTGGACCAGAAAGGTCTGAAAAACAAGCACTTGGCCTCCAAGCAATGCAGCCATGCCCATACAAGTGTACCTCAAAGTCCCTCAAAGACTAACAAATGGTTTGCTGTCACCAAACAGACTCGCCACTCATCTTTTCCTTGTGCCAACGCTGTGCTCAGCAGCACTCCTGCAGTGAGCCCTCCAAAGCAGCAGGTCAGAAATATTTTATTTTGATCTCCAGTTAAACATATTTAACCAAAGCAAGGAAGTCGGTCCTGGTTGGTGAGGAAGTTTAGGCATATTTAAATAGGATGTGAAACAAAACAAACAAACAAACAACAAAAACTTATCAACCCATACGAAATGTTTATTATACATCAGACCACAAAAATGAGATCAGATTCTTTATTTCCACGGGCAGCCCAGCAGAACACTGCACAGTAAGTCCAATAGCAACAGGGGATCATACAGTCACAAAAAAGGCTTCATCAATCTTCATTTCTTTCGTGCCATAATTTTTGTCTGTTGCTCTTTTCTCCCAACAACTGCATCTTCTATTCAGCTCTATAAACCCAAGCTGAGCTCAGGGGGAGCAATCTTTTTCACTCTGAAAGCATGGAATCATTAAGGTTGGAAAGATGGCTAAGACCATCCAATCCGAGCACTGACGGTAACTGCAACTTACAGGCTTTGCTCTGTTGATGCTGCAATGAATGGAGTTATTTCCTCAGACTCCTGTTGTATAATCCTTCCTCCACCAGCCCTCAGCTATCAGCAGATCAGAGCTGGAGTTTACTCTGGAGTTTGCAGTAAACAAAAGAACAAATCCGCACTGTTTTCCCCTGAAAAAAGGAATTGTAGCCCTTGTCCACACGCATTAAAACACGCAGGACGATTAAGGAGCTGTGTAGGAGATAAATGAGGTAGTGTGCTCAACAGATTAAAAAAAAAAAAGTTGAATTAAGTGGAAAGATTTACGTATTTATAGAGCACAAGCAAGGCATTGTCAAATAGTTTCAGCCATCAAACGGGGCCTAATTTAAGTTATAACTCAGTGGTAGGAACTGCCTGTGGATTCCAACCATTGTGTTAATGAACAACTCGACTGCTCCTTCCGGATGACAACTGCACAGCTGCCACACTTGCCCTACCAGACCTGGAGCACCTAGATTGCAGAGGGAGCCATCCAGGAATTAACGAAAGCTACATTTTCCTTTTAAACACTGATTTCCATCCCAATAAATACTCAGCTGAAGGGAGTTTTGACGAGTTATGTAGCAAAAGATAGATATTTTGTCCCTCTTTTTTTTTTTTTAATAAATATTTCTCAGCTCAACATTGGTGGGCACGAAGGTTGTATCCAGCACTGTACCCTCACATGATGCAGTGTCCATGCAATATCTCTACCAAAGGATGGAAACAGCTTAACGTGGGAAATGAGGAACAACCACCACCCCACTACAACCACAGCCAGGTGTGGTTTGATCCAGAGTTGCTGCTCTGCCTTTGGAACCCCATTTGGTTCCTTGGGATGGACGGCAGGGAAGGAAGAAAACAAAGCAGGGCCCCACCAGGCAGCCTCCACAACAGGGGAGGGAAAGAAAGGGAAATAATAACAGCATTTGAAGATGAACAATAAGAGACCACCAGGAAGGAAACCTGCTCTTTACAAGGCTCAGCGCATTAAAATAGTGCAGAATGTCCTCACAGTCCAGTGAGGACACCCAGCAGCCCGGAACACAAACTAAGGACACGCACAATTCAAGAGCTTATGCCCTTCATGAAGCTCCAACACAAATTCTCTATTCTGTCCTTCTCATCCATTGGATTCTTATGATGCTGACTGCCCACCAGCAAGCCCTGCACCCCACACACATACATGGGAATGCTGTAGGAAGGCAGGCAGGTAGCTTAAGGCTTCCCAGGGCATCTGGATAACAGCGTGTGGATACTTCCATAGCAGATGGCCAACAGGTGGGGCTGAGAAAGGCTCAAAACCTCAGCAACCACATCAAACAAAACCCAACTCAAGTCCTTTGGGAGTCTTTGCCACAACACAAGCAACCTGCTTTGGGTGAGAGAACACCTCCAAAACCTTTATTCAGTGGCCTTCCTCTGGCACGCTGAGAGGCACAAGCCAAGAGGAGGAGGTTTTAACAACAGGAGCAACCCATCCTTGCCAGATCACCCCACACTGCAGACTGATCTGCACTTTATACGAGGGGCACAAATTCCTTTTATTTAGCTGAGGTTACACCAAAGGGAAAGAGCTGGTGATCTTCTGAATTGACCTCAGACTCTGCACAGATTTTCGATATCTGTTTGTCCTTTCATGCTTTGAAACCCAAAGTGGACCGTTATTACAGCACCTCCAATTTCAGGGCACCTGAGCAGCAAGCAAGTAATCAGGAGTGACAAACACTCATATTAATAGCAACAGCACGTTGTTTCTAAACAGCACTATCAGTTACTTATACACTAGTGAGCAAAAGGGACAGATCACCAAAAATACCAGCACAAACTTAGCAAGAATAACAAACCTGGTTCCACTGCTTGTTCAAAGACGGAAGAAAAACCAGTCTGTTCTGCATGTTTGTCATTCCCTACTTCTCACTGCACTCAACTTCATCCTAGCTGCAACTTACCATCGTTAGAACTTAAGGAATACCTTTTTCCCTCAAGTACTGCAATTCCTTGGTTGCCACCGAAGCATTATGTTAGTGGACACAAGAGAGGGCAGGCTGTTTGGTAACTCATTGGCTCCTGATGTTCAACAGTCCATCACAGCATTACCCAGATATCAGCAACCAGGGGCTAATTATATTATACAGACACAGTGCTTGGAAGGACCCCGACCCCACTTTTTTCTCTGGGACTCAAACTCTCCATGTATAATTTATGAACCCAAAAGAGAAGGTCGGGCTCACTTTACTCCTCCTTACCACGCACACTGGTGGCTCAGAGCTATCCAAGTCCTCCCTCTCCATTCACAATTAACGTAGTAAAAAGAGAATCATAGAATCATCATAGAATGGCCTGGGTTGAAAAGGACCACAGCGTAGCAGGGTTCCAACCCCCTGCTATGTGCAGGGTCGCCAACCACCACACCAGGCTGCCCAGAGCCACATCCAGCCTGGCCTTGAATGCCTCCAGGGATGGGGCAAAGATGTCCTTACAAGTGTTCTGACACCCACCAGCACAACGTGCACCTTCAGAACAGGCTGGAGATCCTTGGCACTGAGGAACTCTCAAGCCAAACACAGGCATATCGCGATCAGTAAAGCTCTACGAGGATCAAGAGGAGAGCAAGAGCAAAGAAGATGAGATAGATGCAAATTTCAGCATGCAACTACAAATGACATGGAGCAGATCCTCCACTAGGGTGCCCGGCAGAGCTACAATCAATAGATCTGTGCTCATTTACACAAGCAGAGCACTAGCAGCACAACTAAGCTGGAGTTTCACTATCAGTTACCACTGGGCTACCTGGCTTCAGGCAGCTTTACATAAAATGCAAAGTTATGATTCACTGTTTTTCCTGCAGCTCTGCTCAGCCTGCTGCTTTATTCACTGCTGCTCTCACCTCTTCACCTCGTTAACTGCTTTCTTGCTTCTGGCCATCGGGACTGTTCCAAAATTGCTGTTCTTTGTGCAAAAAAACAAAAAAACAAAAAAACAAAAACCTGAATAAAATACTGCTGTTGTAACAGAAGCTAAATTAAAAGGCTCGTGACATGAACAGGGGCAGACAAAGTGGCGAAAGGCCAACTAAAGAGAGGGGTGTTTGTTACTGCTCCTTCCCGAGAGGATCAAGAAAAACATTCACGATTTTAAAATCTGTTCCAGCCCATCTCCTTAGTGTATAAGAATGTGAAAGAGATTCCAATACTCCTCCCAGATAACCCCTCAGATGTAAGAGCCTCTGTAAAACCAGCACGTTTCCTAACACAAGGATACCAGCGATGTCACTGCCACCTCTCTGGATCGCGTCCATCCCACAGATCATTATCTCCCACGGGCACAGATAAACACTCTGTTTAAGATCTCAATGGGAAAAGCATCGGTGGGTAAAAGTAACTTTGGAACCTCACCAGAAAACAGCAGCAGGGACACGGGTGGCACCATCCTCTTGTCCTTCCCACACTCCCAGGTCCTTTTCAGGCAGGGTGCTCAGGAGGGGGCATTTGCCTTGCTGTAAGCTGCCATCCCCAGGGCACTTCTTAAAGAAGGGAGGGGGATCTGGTGCACTGAAGGCCTCCACCCTTCTCACACCACCAGGCTATGGGGTGGGCATCCCATCTGCATGTGGTACAACCCGCTGTCCCAAGAGCAGCACCAGCTTTCCCTCGCCTCTCCTAAACCTCCAAAAGAAAAAACAACCAAGCAGAAGGGAAATAAACACAAGCTTCCCAAGCCAAGCAAAACCTTTCCACAAACAGTTTGCTTTTCCTGACCAGTGAGATTCCATGCAACTGCTGGTGGTGCTCTGCGAGCACAGAAAGGGTCGGAGCCCACAGCAGCAACCAGGCACAGCTCTGATCTGAGTGCTGCGTGCAGGAGGCGATGGCACACCTGGATCAACATTGCCTGCTGCCCTGACCCCTCTCCAACACCGGAGATGAATTTAACACCAACCAAAAAAGGATAAGTGTCCGTGAACTTGAAATACACAACTAAGTCAATACCCCACCAATACCCAGCCCATGCAATAGGAGAGACGGGTTTAAAGGTCTCCTAGCTGATGCGAACGCTGATACTTTGTGCATTAGCACCCCCCACCCATCCCCTAATCAGCAACCACTTTTAATAAGTAATGAAAAAAAAACCACATGAAAAAGAGCAGTATCAGCCTGAAGAGCTCTGGGTACCCCGTGGAGCACTCGGGGATGGCAGTAAACAAGGAGCTGATATGCACACACTGCACAGCGCTGAACCGAATGGGATGAGCCCCAAATCAGAGTGAGATTTCAATGCATGAAGTTTAGCTGGAAGATAAGGGACCGTAATCAAATTACACCACAAATAGATCCATTCATCCGTGAGCGTTATTGCAGGGAGAGGATTGAATTACAGCTCGGGCTAAAACAATTTCAGGAATAAAAAGGAAATTTATTAGCTATTTATTATTGTCCCGCTGCCAAAGAAAATTTCCCACCTTCGTCACAAGAATGCAATCTGAGGAGAAAGCTGAAATACTAATTACCAGGCAGGAAAAACAAGAAGAGTTCGGGTTGTATTATTTACATTGCCATTCCTCTTTCTGAATAGAGCCACAAAGTCAACCAGCCGAGGGAAGCCGCGAGAAGCATTTGCAATTCCAGTTGTTTTGCTGGGGAAGGCCCAGGCGCTGAAATGCATGCAAGGAACCGGGCAGAGAGATGGGGTTTTCCTTCCTCTAAAAAAGGAAAATTCCTCCCGGTGCCTTCCACTACATTTTCTTTTTCTTTTTTTCCTCTCTCCACAAAGCTATCCCAACAGCACGGGTTTTGTAGAAGACCAAGTGCAAGGTGAGCATTCCCCCCCCCCCCCCGCCGCCCCCCACCCCCCACCCCCCCCCCCCCCTCCTCCCATTTGGCAGCGCTGAAG